AAGCAACTCCTGCACTCTGGAACGAATAAAATATGCAATAAAGATATACTGATAATTACTGGTGGTTGGCATCCGAAATTTGGAAACAAAGATTGGTAGTTGGGAAATATGATCTCAGTGATAGCAACAATACTGTTGCCGGCATGACAGAATTTTGCAAGATTAATTAATGACTTATTAATTAGAAATTATTTTTCAACAAAATAAATGGTAACTTACTCTATATGTAGACCTTGCTGGATGGAGAATGGTGGAATCAAACTGACTACATCTGTGCAAAGACATGATAGAGAATATCAATGAAAAAGTCAGAGCACCACAGGGGCCAGCTGCAAAACAAACCATTAGTCATTTATACATTAAAAAAATTCAATTTGAAGTAAAAGAAAATGAAAATGCATATAAGAGCCAGAGAAAAGTACTATTTTGAGCATCTGTCATCTGAATGAAGACTCTCTGAAGAACAGATTTGACACATTGAATACTAATGATCCAAGAGCAGATACGTGACATCATACATGAAGAACATGAAAGGGCATTAGAAAGAGGAAGGAAGGAAGGGAGGGAGGGAGGGAGGGAGGGAGGAAGGAAGGAAGGAAGGAAGGAAGGAAGGAAGGAAGGATCCAAAATGGATTCAGAAGACACTCTGAAGTTTGTTCTCGAATGTAGAGTACCGAAAGCAAATGGAAGAAATGATGACTTAAAAGATATGAACAGATATTTCAACGGGGGAGGTGTGGCTCAAGAAGGCAAAGTATAATGAAATGTGCAAGACAGACCTACAGTGAGAGAAGATGGGAGAACACCCTCAAACACGTGTCAAGATCAAAGACGTGAAGAATGGGCACTTTTATGATTTATTATTCATTCTCTTTACAGAGAAGTAAGTGGAACAATCAAGTATCGCTATAAACATATCTAGTAAGTGGTAGTTGTTTGTTATGTGTTATCAATTGGGAACAGACTCAGAGCTAGAGCTGACCCTCCGGCAGGTTTTCAAGGGCTGCAAATTTCACAGCAGGACACTGTCCATCTTTCTCACACGGAACAGCTAGTGGGTTCTAACATGCTTTTGGGTCAGCACTGCAACTTCTTACCACCAGGGCACCAGAGGTCCCTCCAGTAAGCATCTCAGAAGGTTTATGAAGATCAGTAGAGAACAGAAACTATGCAGGCACCAAGATAAGTAAAGTCAAGTGGAACAGGAGTATTACTGTAAACAATGCTTATTATCTACTCCTAACAACAGAGAAAATACACACACACACACACACACACACACACACACACACACACACGTGCGCGCGCCCACAACATGGGGGAAAAATAGGGAGCGCTGGTGGCCTCGTGGCAAGAAGCTGTGCTGCAATCCTAAAGGCATGCGGTTCAAGGCCACCAGTCATTTCATGGGAGAAGGATGCACATTCTCCTTCTGTGTGATTAACCACCTCTGAAAATGTGCCTGATAGTCACTATGGGTTCCAGCAGCCATCGTAAAATGCGAGGTAACTTTGAGGATAGAAGGTATTCATTCAACTTTCAAAGCAAAAATTGTGGCCAGAGTCTCTGACAAAATGGGAGCCATTGAAGCCCTGGACTGCCAACCTCAGGAGTTCTTTTTATATGAAAAGTATGAACACTTTCATATTTACATCATTATTTGGTGGTAGGGGTGGGAGGATTTGTTACTTTTAGTTAAATGTAATTTCTGATTGATAACAGTGTCAACAACATCTTGTCTGAGATGCCTTCTAGCTCTACCATAATATAATCTTCTAACTTTATGTGATGAATAGCAAGGTAGGACACTGTACAATGAGTTGTTGTTGTTGACAATTGCTGTCGAGTCGCACATGACTCATAGCGACTCCGTGAACAAAAGACCTGAGGTCTTTCTATAACTATAGTTTCTCTAAGTTCACAGAGTTTCCAGAGGCATGTGGTTTAGGAAGTGGATGCCACTCCTGCTTCTCAACCTGTCTTAAAGCCAGGAGCTCCACCAAACACTGTCCACCATGGACAGCCATTATTGCATTTGAGACCCCAATGGCACAAGGTTCAGCTTCACAGCAAATCCAGATTACCTCAGCACAGCAAATTGACAGAAGACTGCTGTACAACTTAGAAGAATTTTTCCCCAAATATAGTACCAAAGGTTTAAAATATAATCCCTTGGACCTGATTTATTAAACATTAGGGCCCTCCAGGGTTTTGTTGACTCTAAACAAGAGGTTTTAATAATAATAATAATTATTATTATTATTATTATTATTATTATTTTTATTTTTAAAAAGAGATAGAAAAAAATTCCAGTGACACTCAGCCAAAACAAGAGATCCCATCTTACAGAGTCCCCTCGCATCACTCAGTTTCCAAAATGAAGACAAGGGCTTGGTTAGATGTAAGGAGCTCTGGTGGACTCTCAACAAGACCAGTGAGAGTGGAAGAGTACAGCTGTGAGAGTGAGCATTTGGGATGAGCCAAAGGAGCTTTGAAAACAAAGGTGTACTTGACCCAAGTCATAATCCTTTAATTACTCTGTATGCAGAAAGGTGGACAGTGAATAAGAAGAATGGAAAAATGATGCCTTTTAATTACCTTGTCAACCAAGAGTGTTGAATACCATGGATTGCCAGATGAATGAACAAATACGTTGTAAAAGAAGAATGGCTGGAACACTTCTTGAAAGCAAACGTGGTGAAACTTGGTCTCCTACACTTTGCACATGTCACTAGAAAGAGTCCATCTCCAGAGGAGGACATTGTGTTTAGTAAAGTAATTGTGTTTTGAGATGCTGTCCTGCCGACTAGGACACATAGTGACCTCCTAAAAACAGACCCGAGCCTTGCTTTATCTGTACCACCACCATGATCCCTGAAAGGCTCGGGTCCATTGTTAAAGTCACTGTGTCAAGTCCTCTGGTTGAGGGTCTTCCGCTCTTTCTCTGACTCTCCACCTTTCCTGGCCTGATCCCTTTTTCCCCAAGGGCTGGTAACAAAAAGAGGATGACCCTCAATGAGATGGCCTGGCACAGTGGCTGCAATAATGGGCTCCAACACAACAATGACTGCGACACCTCGGGACTAGGCAGAGTTCTGTCTGTTGTATATACAGTCACACGAGTAGGGGGCTGACTTGATGGTACCAATTTACAAAAACCAAGGAGCAGCACTGAGTGCAGGGAACAAAGAAAACAGCAGCCTGGGTGGAGCACAGCAGAGGACCGTGTACAGAGAGGATCGCTGAGAGCCCATCAGATCAAAGGTGCCGATGAGGAGTCAGCTCAATTCAGACAAATGACCAGCCATCTCTGGGAATGGAATCACTAACAATCAGAGAGCATATTACTGTCTCACACGAAATGACATGCCAGGTAACTCGGTGCCTCTAACCAGCAGAAAGCGCCATGGCCACCCCTAGTAGCTCAAACCCCCAATACCTTCCCCTTTCCCAGCACAAGACATGAGGATCAGCTTAGTGTCGCCAGGCAACTGTCTGCTATTCGCGGGAAGATAGATTCCAGGTGTCACAGCACTGCGTAATCACCCTTGTCAATGGTTTCTAACAGATGGGCCTCGGGGACATCAGCCATCAACTGATAGGTCAACTTAGACTTCAATTCTGCCAGGAAAGGCATTTTGTGGCAGGAGGAACTCAAATGATTGTCTGCAAACACATATGCCCACATGTCTGGATGATGAAAAGTCACATTTAAGTCACAGAGATTCCTCTGCCAGGCTCCTGAGAGAGGCAGGGCCACCTAGGAGGTATCTGTCTGGTTCTGGGGGGAAGAGTAAAGCCACACCTTAGGTGGCTGGTCTTACAGCAGATAATGTAGGGGCTCTGTTAGAAATGGAACTGTTATGCCCCTCTTCCTTCAACATATGCCAATGTGACTAGGCCATGATTCCCAGAGCCATGTAACCATTCTTCATTCTGTGGCCTGATGTCCTTACCCTGAGTGTTGTACAGCCTCACCTCTATCCTGTTAAGGGGTAGGATCAGTGGTACTTAGGTTGGCATTTAGGACAAAACTTACCAGGTTGTGTCTTGAGTAAATTTCTTGAGATGTGAGACACTTATTAAGTAGTGGGGGCAGAGGGGCTCTACCACCACCAAAAAAGAAAAGCCATGTCCCCGCACTGGACCCTGAGCCTGCTAGACTCAGGAAAGGCTGATGCCAGGACACGTGAAGATCTCCCAGGAATACTGGCCTCCCAGATACTGATGGACAAGACCCAGCTTCCTCCTCACCTGTGAGCTGAGAGAGGAAGCCCTCCCCTAGTGCTGGTACCTTGAAATTGGGCTTCTAGACTCCTAATCGCTAAGAGGATAAATGCTTGTTTGGTAAATTTATCCCCCAGGGTATCAGTGTCCGACAGCTAGGAAGTCTTCAGTTGAACAGGGGTGCAAGCCCCTCTCTGTCCCACAAGTGCACAATCCTAAGATTTTACAAGTTGTGAATATGAAAGACATTAAGTCTTTGCTTTTGTTAAGCCTTTGCTATATATTTCCTTCACATTTTAAAAGACTGATTTCCAACATGTAGAAATTGACATTTCTAATTAGAGCAGCATTTGTGGCTCTGTTGAAAAGGCAGAAGGTCTAGAACACTCAGCACACAGCCCAGTGCCCCTGCCTGGCCAGCCTTGCTGGGGCCTGTGGGCCGTGCAGGTCCTCGCCAACACCTCACATTTTCCCTCATGTGATTTACAACTTGGCTTCTCCTCGTGTTTTTAACTCTGGCACCAAAGAGTCCACGTTGCAATGATGCAAACACCTTTGTCAAATCATCACTCACTTTTCTATAATGACAAGTCTAACATGCAGAATTCGAGCCTTATCTTTGGTACTCGTCACTAGCAATACGAATCGTAGCCCAGGCGTGTACAGAGCCTGGTTCCAGGGCTCACTGAGGGACTCACCCCCTCAGAGTTCGGGTGGGGGTGACACTCTCCCCTGCTGGAGTTCAGCATCTGCACACGATGGGGTGCACTTACCATGGCCAGCGGGATCACTCCAAACACGTCCTTCTGGCTGACGTAGATCTTGGACACGCCCAGGTCTGATGTGAACCCTCCTGGGTACTCAACCTGCCAGGTGACCAGCTGTGTGGCTGGAGGGTCGCTGGGCTCTTCCACCACGACGTCGATCTGCATGACCTCGTGGGAGACGCTGTCCACACTGTGGGGAAACAGAGGACAGCAGCTTGCAAGGGCCGGAGTGGTCACCTTGAGGCCGCATGTGCCTATGGGTGTACCTGCGTGCACCTGTAAGGTGTTAGGAAAGAGAATGGAGATTCTAGTCTCGAGAGGAGACTGGCTGAGAGCCAGGGACAAGAAGGAGGAGGGAGAGAAATGGGCAGTACTGCAAGGCGAGCCTGGTTACAGGCCTAACCTTCTGCTCAGGCCACAGTGTTGCCCAGGGAACAGTAGCTGCGATGGCCTTTGAGCAAAGGCTGGGCAGAGAGGGAGTGGCACGGCCTGATCCCGCAAATCCTGGGAGGAGAAAGACAACCTGTGAGGAGCAGAGCCGACAGAGTCAAGCTGGAAACCAGTCATCCTCCGTGTGGCCTGTTCCCCCTCCACTCTGTTCCTGGTCACCCCACCCCACCCCACCCGCTTTCTGAAGCAATGACATCACAAAATCCATGCAGTGCCTGACCTATGTTCAGTCACAGAGAAAGGAAAAGTTCCAGAACAGAATGAATGCAGTTGATTTTACAGCTGCCGGCACATCCCATGGGTTCAGTACCATCACCACTACCCTCTCCACACGCAGGACTGTATCCTGGTGAGGCTCTGACACTCTGACCGGAACCCTGGCCTCCACACCCCCACACCCTATCTCACCAATGGTGCTCACTATCAGAGATGCCTTCATGGACATACCTACTGTCCCCTGGTCAGTGCAGCCTGAGCAAGCCTGGACACCACAGGAGCCCCAGAGTGTGTCCAAGGCTGAGGTCTCCATGCACACAGAGGGCCTCATCCTGCTCCAAAGGGCTGGTGGCTGCAGTCCTCTGAGCTTTAGGCCAACACTTAGCCCACTGTGCCACCATTCTTCTGACAAACCACCCTCTACTCAGGTTTTCCTGCCTGCAAGATGCAGCGGCAGGGTCAATAACCACGTCCTGTTTAAGGCTTGAAATCTCACCAGGTTAGTGATGTCATGTGGGTGCTGTATAATGTCTGCTTTCCCCATTCGAGCCATTCTCGCCACAAGGTGTGCAGCCCACCAGAGCCCAATGTCCTTGTTCTGATATCTTGGAAAAATTGCTCCAATTTGAGAATTCTAAATCTGGTAGCAGGTGCTGGGGGAGGGCGTAGAAATTTTCAGGAAGACTGTGCCTTTTGCAATGGTTTGCAACACACATGTGTGTCATTTTTTTGAGCCTTTCCTTAGTGTGTGTACGATGTCATTATCCCGCAGCTGGGTTGTGGATTGAAACTGACAGTTTCTGCACGTGAATGCTTTGTCCTGAATGGAAATCTGTACATGGCGAATGTTACAGATTGAATTTTATTTCCCCAAAATATGTGTCAATTTTTGCTATGCTAAGATTGCCTGTATGATGTATTTAACTTTCATGATCTGATGTCGTTATCCTGAGGGCTGTAAATCCTAAATGAGGATGTTAATGAGGTTAGGGTTCTATCTTTTCCCCCACACTTAAATTCAATCTATGCAAGGAACAAACACTTGAGGAAGATGGACTATATGAAGACGAACAAGCCATCAGGAAGGGACCAAGATTCATCAAGCCCTGTTAAATGGATATAATGTATGACAAAACCTTGTTTGCAGAAAATGAACATTTGAAGCACTTATTCATGAAGCTTAAAGACTATATAGACTTCTGTATGAACCGCACTTCAACATAAACAAAAATTCTCACAAGTGGGCCAGAAAATAGAGGGGGAACCTCTGAAGTTGTCCAGCATTTAATTTTCCTTGGATTCACAATCAATGCCCACTGAACCAGTGGTCAGGGAATCACGTGGTGCAACATGCTGGACAAATGGGCTGTGGAAGTTTCCTCGGAAATGTCAGAGAGCAAAGCTTTGAAGACTCGGGAGTGCCTGACTCCAGTCGGGGTATTTTGAGTTGTCTCATGTGAAAATGGACAATGAAGAAAGAAGACTGAAGAATGAATGCCTCTGGATGATGGTGTCTGTGAAGGGTAGGAACATACAGGGCTGCCACAAGTGTGTCCAGATGGTAGTGTCTGTGAAGGGTATGAACATAGCACGGCTACCCCAAGCGCATTGTGTACTGGGCTCTAACCAAAGGATGGCAGTTTGAATCTCCATGGGAGAAAGGTGGACAGTCATGTCCCATAAATATTTACAACCTCGAGAGGCCAATGAAGGGCTGCTGTGAGTCAGTATTACTTGAAACAGTGGGTGTGATGGGTTGTTGGAAGAGGTGCATCAGAATGCTTCTGAGTGAGGAGGCAGGACTTCCTCTCATGTTACCAGAAGGGACTGGCAGTCCTTGGAGATGGACACCAGGCTTCACAGAGCAGAAGGTCACAGAAAAAGAGGACAACCTTCAGCTAGGAGGACTGACAGTGGCTCCAGCTGTGAGCTCCAGTGCAGAGCTGACTGTGGGGCAGGTACAGAGAGGGCAGTTCTGCTCTGCTGTGTGTGGGGTTGCTGTGGGTCAGAACTGGCTTGACTACACCTCCCAGCGTACCAGTCAGGCGAAACCATACTGGAGTCATTGAGTGGAAGCTTTGCTTCTCTCTCATATTTCAAATAGCTGGAAGCTTTGCTTCTCTCTCGTATTTCAAATAGCTGCAGGTCTAATCATGGTGAAAGAACGTCAGTTGTGCTTCCATACTCAGAAAGACTAGAAAGAAAGGCCTGGCGTTCTCTTATGGAAAATTAGCTAAGGTAATCACAGGATGTTGTCTGGGACAATGACTTGATTTCCTAGGATATGTCATCAGGAAAGACCAATCACTAGAAAAAGACATCATGTTCGACAAAGCAGAGTCTGAAAATGAGGGGGCCACTTGATGAGATGGATAACGTAGGACCACAACAACAGATGTAAACACCCCTGCAACCGTGAAGGTGCTGTGGAATCTGCTCTGACTGGGGGACAATGAACTGGCATCAACCTGCCGGCTACAAAGAACGATGAGAAAAGTCTTACTTTACTCAGTCTTTACAGTAATGTTATTGCTTTGCACCATCAAGTTGGAACTGATCCATAGCTGACCCTCTGGCGGGTTTTCCGGGGCAGTTAATCACAAGGGAAGAGACTGCCCATCCTTCTCCCATGGAGCAGCTGACAGATTCTCACTGTTTGCCTTCAGGACTGCAGCGTAGATTCTTATCACTAGGACAACACAGTGCCCTGTAAATGTTATTCCTCATCTATACATGAGAAACTTGTGCTCAAAGAGGTAAACAGATGTGCAGAGTAACCTGGAAAATCAGAGAAGGAGCCAAGGGCCTTAAATGCAGAGTGTCCACTTTTGGTCATTATCTCTATTCCCAGCACAAACAGAGCCCTACTTCTTAGCCATGAAGACACTACAGCACTTCTCACCCCAATGTCAGCACATCACACAGAGCTTGGTGGGGACTCCCACCCTCCCCTCAAGACAGTCCTGCCTCACGGTGACTCTACCATCCCAGCAGGACTGTCCACAGGGTGTCCAGAGCTGTGATGACCAGACTTGGTCTCACACACTTTGGTATACTGTCAGGAGGGACTGTTCTCTGAAGAAGGAAACCACGGTTGGTAGAGGCCAGTGAGGACCAAGAAGATCCTCAATAAGACGGGCGGCCACTGTGCTGCCACCACGGGTCCAAACACAGGAGACGACGCGGCAGGGCCGGGCAGGGCTTCCTCCTGCCCACTGGTGGGAGGGTCACTGCGAGTCGGGTCTGACTTAAGGTACCTAACAACACTGGTCATTATAGGAGCTGACCGTCACATCTTTCTTCCATGGAGAAGCTGGTGGGGTCAAAGGTGGACCTTTCGGTTAGCAGCACTTTAACCAATACCCAGCGGGACCCCCAACTTGAGACGCGTCAAGTGGCTCTGAAGGCTGCAAATAAATTCTGCATAAACGGTGCTGGGCTGTCTCTGTACGAATACGTTTCAAATAAGCTCGGCCTGAGGGTCTTCTGCCAGCTCTTTGGGTCCCATGATGTGTCTCTAAATCAGAATGGTGACACGGAAACAAAAGCAATGGCAGAGATGACCACCATCTAGACCTGGTGCCCTCAGGATGTGAACAACTGTGAAGTGTCTGAGATGTGAGTCAGGGTGTCTACCTTTCCCCCCCCTTTTCCTGGGTGAGAACGCCAGTGCGTCGTGCTCAGTCCTCAAGCAGCCTGCCACCAGCCGAAGCCCACTCCGCACCCGCCTTGTGGGCGGCTGGCTTCCACCATGTGCGTGACTGTGGTGAGGCAGAGACGGGGGTGGAGGACGCACAGTGAAATTCCACTTCCAACTTCACATTTTCCAGATGGCACTGTGAAGCACCAACGGGTACGGTTTCTGGAAGCCCTCATAAATAAAGTCAGGCCAAGAAACCCCAAACCCGCCACCACTCCTGGCAGCCCGCTCCATGCACGGCGAGGCTGCTTCTTGTGTTCCCGTGAACCAAGTGGTAGATCTGAACCTCGAGACTTGGGTTAAAAGTTCAACATGTAATGCTCTCTGCCACCCAGACTCCTTATAGCAAAGCAGTGTCGAATGCCATCAGAATGACCCTATCCCAGAACACGGTGAGGCATGCAGTGCAAATAATCCAGAATGCTTTTTAAGGTTGTAGAATGAGACTGGATGACACAGGAGCCAGCGTGGTTCAGGGGTAGAATTCTTCCCTTTCAGGCTGCAGACTTGAGCTTATGTCCAGCCAGGGCACTTCAGGCATCACCTGGTCTATCAGTGGTGGCTTGAGTGCTTCTGTGATGCTGAAAAACTCAGGGAGGCTTCCAGACTAAGACAAGGAAGAAAGGCCTGGTGATCTTCTGAGAGCCAGCCGGTAAAAACCCTGTGATCCACAGCTGATCACAAGCTGGCCAGGGCCAAGCGCCCCTCTGTCCTACTGAGCATAGGGATGGCAGTGGTCAACCAGCCTTCTGTCTTGTTAGGTGTGGGGACAGGGGTGGTCAAGCAACCCTCTGTTGTACTGAGTGTGGGTCTGAGGTGGCCAA